GCGCCAATAAATTACAATTCAAATTGGGTATAAAGCACCACCATGATTTGATTAATAGGTTGAACAGGCTGCCAAAGAAGAGGGTGGATTAGCCACCACTTTGCAACCTTCACATCAAGTCCAAGTACAATTTGAGAAAGATATGGTGATCATACTTCAGATATGCTTATTGATTCCACCCTTCATCTTACTCAACAAAGGAAGAGTAAAGCTAAGCAACATAGTCAGCATGATGCATGTCACACCCCCCTCCACACACAAGGCACTTCTGTGCAGTTTGTGGGCCTTCTTAGAATCTTAGCACTTAAAACCAAGTCTAAGTTTCTAGTCCTAATGTCTGAAGATGTTTATTTGAAAATGAGATGTCAGAGGTGGTAGTTCACCCCCACAAACACACAGCAGGTTTGTTTTTAAAAGATCAAAACCAGAAAGCTTCTCTCTCTCTCTCTCTCTCTCTCTCTCTCTCACACACACACACACACACACACACACACACACAAAATCCTAGCCCCTGTTTTGAAAACTCATTCATAATTGTATGGTACCTTTTCATTATTATGAAATATTTATATTGGCACTGCCAGTTTTGTTTGGATTATCCAGTGATGAATATCAGCACAACACAAATGTGTAAAACTCCTCCAAGTCATGTAACTTACTTTTCATGGTTGATCCTCAGTGATATGACCTGGGATCTTCACAACAAGATAATTTTTACTTTTTCGTCACATGCTGCAAACTGCACAAGCAGCGCCACAAGAATGCAACAGACCTGTTCATCCGGTTTATATCTGTGTTATGCAAATTAACTTATTAATGGCACAGGATTATTGTTTTTTTACTTTTTGGTAAATGATTGTGCAAATGAGCAAGGACCCATGACACCCAACATGCAGCTACGCAAGGTGTCTAGTGCTGAGCAAAGACATATGAAAATATAAACGCTTGAAAATACGATTGTATGTGAACTGGTTTCACTCCGTAAGCAACTGATGGGTGTACGTTGTAAGACACCAGTGAACTCAGAAGAGGGATCCTAGCAGGGCTCAGGCACCATACTGTGTACACTGGAAGCTGATAGGTGGAGAGATTTTCTTAAGTGGGCCCCCGTACATCTACTCATACAGTTCCCAGCTCTCCAAGAGAACAGCCAAATTGTTTCTTTGTTAAACAGAGGATAAACAAGACTAGCACTGAGGCCAGTTTGCACAGAACTGAACTGTTAGGGGGCTGAAACACCCACACACAATATAAATCCCACCCACTGAGTCTTCGGAGGACCAGTGGTTGCACCCAATCACTTTTTAATCCTCTATACATTGTGTACCACAGATGAAGTGGCTGCCATCCGTCTTGCCGTTTTCACAGCCCAACACCGCACAACCATAGCCACTTGACAGTGGCAACAAGGTAAGCTGCAGCCAATCAACTCAGACCAGACCAGATCACGTGACTTGGAGAGCCCATAGCAGTCCTGCCAATATTATATAAAAACAATTCTAGACTTTCCATAGTAGCAATTCCCAGAAGCATGGCCATGTCGGTCTGTCGCAGCAAACACATCAAAGAGACTTATGACACCTTAAAGACTAATGTGTTTATTAAGGCATAGACTATAGCCCATGAAAACTGGTGCCATAATAAATGGGTCCGGTCTTTGAGGTGCCACAAGACTCTTTGTTGTTGTTGTGTTTTTCTGGGCTTGGCTCCAAGTAGGAGCAACTCGTCGGTGACAGAAGATGCAGAACAGGTTCCTGCTCAACCCCTATCCAGATCCTTCTCTGGAATCTGACCAGTTCATCTTAGACTACAGTATCCACACTCTGACCCTTTGCCCCCAGCCGCACGGGGCCACACCATTTGCCTCTGACTGCCACTGGTCCCTAACACATGGAAAGAATATCTTCAGATAATGAGGCAACCGAAATGACTAGTTTGCATCAAACCAGCAGGCCCATCTAGCTAGTAGCAATTGGCAAGGAAGGGGCGCGTACCAACCTCCCATCACCAGTGTTGCAGCAGCTTACTGAGAGGAAGAGGAGGAGGAGGGCTGAGGTGAGATCAGAGTGGTGTGAATGCACTGGAGGGAGCACCGGAATAGCTCCACCAATATGTTTGTACTGTGGTAAAATCACCACTGCCTTGCTCCTCTTCTTCTTGGTAAGCCACAGCCATGTGGGTGAAGGGAGGCCAAGAAAGTGTTCTTGCCCTGATGGCTGCTTCTGGGAGTAGCCAATGTGGCGTCCGAGTCCCATCAGCATGACCAATAGTCAGGAATGATGGGAGTTGCAGTTCAGCAGCATCTGGAGAACACCATGCCGGCTACCCTGGTCTAGCTTATTATCATGCATTCTGAAGTAGTAGGAGTTGGTTCCTTTCAGAGGAAGTATATGACAACCCGTGATCATTTCCGGCTCCATCACTGCTTCCAGCAGCTAGACTCTAGACCAGGGTTAGCAAACTTTTTCAGCAGGGGGCTGGTCCACTGTTCCTCAGACCTTGTGAGGGACCGGACTATATTTAGAAAAGAAAAAAAAGAACGAAATCCTATGCCCCACAAATAACCCAAAGATGCATTTTAAATAAAAGCACGCATTCTACTCATGTAAAAACACCAGGCAGGCCCCACAAATAACCCAGAGATGCATTTTAAATAAAAGGACACGTTCTACTCATGTAAAAACACGCTGATTCCTGGACAGTCTGCAGGCCGGATTTAGAAGGCGATTGGGCCAGATCTGGCCCCCGGGCCTTAGTTTGCCTACCCATGCTCTAGACACTCTGTTATCAACTACCTACCTACCTACCATCTATCTAGTATACAGTCCATCATCTGAAGATTCCAGGGTGGTTCTCAACATAAAAATACACAATGAGAACACAAAACCAATAACCCCCCTCCCAGAAAAGCCAATGGCCAAAAGGGGGGCAGGCGCAGCTAGTGTCACACCCAACAACAGGCTTTCTGCCTGTAGCAACCACACCAAAGAAGGCAGGGTGGGAAAAGGGGGAAGGAAGAACAAAAGAGCCAGAGGGAGACAGTGCTGGTGCCAAGAAACAGAAGCCTTGGAGCATCTACCAAATATAGCACAGCAGTCAGCATTGCAAATGCAAATCCACGCTGTTGGTGCAAGCTGCCTGGCACAGAGAAGCACACTGGCATTGGGCAACTGGAGCCAGATGGGTGTCAATCCTGGCCTGTAGCAGCAATCAGCTCCTTGCCAGCCTTTACCTGCCTTTTCAGCTCAAGCCAAGCAAAAGTGCTAAACCGGAATGCCCTGTATTTTGGGAGCCTGATTCTTCAGTCCACCTACATGAGGCAATCCATTGGGAGTGCAGAAAGCTTTACATATGGAGACAATGGCTTATATCCTAATTATAAGGTAGAAGAAAGGCCCACTTATAGCTCTATTGATAGTGGATAACAACCCATGGTGGGGAACAACTGCTACAAATGGTCATCAATCCCCAATGTTCCATTTCCTGCTCAATGCCATCCAAATACATTGCGCTGCTCCTCCTGATACGGCCAATGCTTTAGAGCAAGGATGTGGCCATCCAGATATTGTTGGGCTACAAATCTTATCATTCCTGACCATTGGCCATGCTGGCTGGGTCTGAAGGGTATTGGAGTCCCGCAACTGAGGAAGGGCCACAGCTCAGTAGTACACCACCTGCTTTGTACCCAGAATGTCTCAGGTTCAATCCCCAGCATCTCCAGCTAAGACAGGGAATATACCATCTCTAAAACCCTGGAGAACGTCAACTGGTCAGTGTGGACAATACCAAGCTAGATGGACCAACGGTCTGACTTGGTAGAAGATAGAACATCTGGATTGCCAGAGGTTCCCTGGCCCTGATTTACAGAGCCTCACCTACTTATGGTACTGTCTGAAGCTTTGCCCTGTATCTCCTAATACAGTAAAGGAAGCAGTAATGGGAAAGGCAGGCCTCATCAACCAATTAAAGGTGGTACACTCTGAGAAAAGCATTGACACAGCTTTTGAGCTACAGCAGACAAGAGCACCTGGTTTCACCATTGTTGTCTTCTTAAAGGAAGAGCCAGGTTTAAAAGCCAGTGTGGTGTAGTGGTTAAGAGTGGTAGTCTCCTAATCTGGGGAACCGGGTTCGCGTCTCCGCTCTTCCACATGCAGCTGCTGGGTGACCTTGGGCCAGTCACACTTCTGTGAAGTCTCTCAGCCCCACTCACCTCACAGAGTGTTTGTTGTGGGGGAGGAAGGGAAAGGAGAATGTTAGCCGCTTTGAGACTCCTGAAGGGGAGTGAAAGGCGGGATATCAAATCCAAACTCTTCTTCTTCTTCTTCTAAAAAGGAAGGCTTAATTAACGAAAGAACAATTAGGTATGGATGGGTCTCATTTAGAGCCAGCTCCTCTCTGTGCCAGCCATTTGTCTGAGTCAGTCTGCAAGTGCTTTGAGGAGGCAGTACATCTTCTTACTACCCCGGTGTTCTTAGGAAAACCACAATTTCTGAATGAGTGAGTGTTAAAAGCAGCATCCTCTTTCTGTTGAAAGGGTGGCTCCCCCCTTTTTTTTTTTACTCAGGAGGATGCTTTACAAGGTTGTTATGAAGAATATAATGCTATATTAAGTGTTGTCTGGAATCATCACTTTTGAGCAGGATCAGGGAACCTGCTACCTTCCAGATAATGAACTCCAATGCCCCATCGGTCCCAGTCAGCATGGCAAATAAGCAGGGATTATGGGAGTTTTAGTCGAGAAACTTCTGGAGGACCATACATTCCCCATCTCTGCCTTAGAGGTAAAATATGTCTAAGTGCACACTGGATTGGAATGGGGTGGCTGGAATCCTGAACAGCAGTCCTTCATTTTGTTGCAGTTCCCACCAGTTTATATTAAAAGATCCCTTTGCTTAGTGTAGATGAGAAGTCATAGAATCATAGAGTTGGAAGGGAAGCTGAGGATCATGTAGCCGAACCCGCCCCCGCCCCCGCCCCCCCGTATTGTAGGAATATGTTGCTGCCCCATATGGGGATCAAACCTGCAACGTTGGTGTTATCAGTGCCACTCTCTAACCAACTGAGCTATCTAGGCTCATCCTTCCTGCCTCCACCGCTGCTTACATATGCTCTTCCAGTTCTTAACTTCTGGATGATGAACTAAATGTACTTTTTTATAATAATAAAAACCCACCCTACAATTCAAATAAATGGAAATAAAACTGTGCTACAAACCGGTTTGACTTTGTTTGAGTCAGCATTTCCCTAATTAACTGGAGAGGCCTGTTTGGGGAATAGGTTGCTGGAGGTTGGCAAATCCCACCTACCCGTCCAAATCTCCTTGGCACTTTAATTACTACTGTGTCAGCAAACATGACTGCACAGGAAAACTGGTGCTTCTGACTCTGCTAAGTACATGGACATCCCCCAATTCCTGGCTCTGTTCCACTAATACATCACCCTAATGCTCCTTTCTCTATTCAGTGCAGAGTGTTGTGGTTGCACAGCTCTAAATTAAGTTCTAAATATGATATTGTTGTCAGTTTGGGGGAGGGTCAGGCTGCATGATGCCTGAGTCCCTTCTAATGCCTTCATCCAGCAAAGGGTTAAAATCTAATGGAGGATCCCATTGTTGAATGGCAAGGGCCATAATGGCCCCTAAGTATGGGTTGTTAGTATAAGAAAGGACATTTCTCTCTGCCAGAGGGCAAGTAGGTGGGCCGCCTCCTTCACCTGGCTGAAAGACAATAGCCAGAGAGTCACAGCTGGACTATTTGTGGTGGGAAGTGAGGTGATGCATAAATAGAAGCTTTCTAGCCTTGCACTTTTTGAGTCTACATGCCTACACACTTGATATTCAGACATATTCAGGGGAACCTCCTAGCCTTGTAGTTTTCCTGTGACTCACACTCACACCATCTCCCAGTCTGCCTGATGAAACTGGGTAGCTCCCAGCAAGTCTCGCAAAGCAAAGGGAGAACCAAGTGCCCTGAGGGAGTTGTGTATGTTAATTCTGGAGAAAGGCAGAGATGATATGATAGCCATCTTCAAACATCTCAAGGGCTGTCACATGGAAGATGGAGCAAGCTTGTTTTCTTCTGCTCTGGAGGGTAGGACCTGAACTACTGGCTTCACGCTGCAAGAAAGGAGATTCTGACTAAATATCAAGAAGAACTTTCTGAGGCCAATAGCTGATTGGCAGTAGAACGGACTCCCTCGGAAGGTGGTGGGCTCTCCTTCCTTGGAGGTTTTTAAGCAGAAGTTGGATGGCCATCTGTCATGGAAGTTTTAGTTGAGATTCCTGCATTGCTAGGGGTTGGACTGGATGACCCTTAGAGTCTCTTCCAACTCTACGATTCTATGATTCACCCCATTAGTTTTAGGGCATATTACATCATTCAATATATTACTCCAACCCTGACCTGCCCAGTAATTAAAGTTACTCCAGGATGGGTGGCGGTGTGTGCTGCGTTATGCAATTGTAACGTCTACAGTTGCAAGTATTTTGCAAGCAGCCTGATCCTTCACTTTTTTTTCCCAGCTGAGTCTCTTCATTCTTGCTTTTGGAACACTCTTGTGTCTGCATTTAACTGGCAATGGCTCTCCAGGTTGCAGACAGGGTGTCTCTTATAGGCCTACCTGGAGATTCTGCAGGTTGAATCTGGAACCTTCTGAATGAACGTTCCTCCCTCTGCATTTCTGTGCTGGACTTGGAGGATGGGGCTTGTTTGCTTTTAGACTTGCACGGAGCCTAATCGGAAGCCACTCACTCACCTGCATGGAGTTCCTGGTCACCTTTGGTTGCCAGAAGAGTGTTTCAGAGCCATGGGGTGCTATACTGTTATCTTTATTTTGTAGGGCAGAACATCAAGCTGTGGGCTAAAAAGAGCGATAGTGACACATTCAGCATTTCCCACTAACCTAGGATCCTTCTCACCCGTCAAGAAAGTAATGGGAGGAATTCAATATGTCAGTTGTTCTGTTTGCGCAAGTAAACAGCTTCCCAGGCAGAACAAGGCTCCTTCCCTTCCCCCATCTGTTTTGGGCGTTCTCCTGACACACACACCCCAAACCAATTTCAGGGAGCATGGGGGTAGAGAGGAGGCTGATGAGACACATTAGTTGAATCCCACCCCATATATTTATTTTGCTCCAGCTGGCTTCTTGCAGCTTCATAAATCTGCCCGAGATGTGTACACAGCCTGTTTGCCTACGCATCTATCTGCATAATGGGACTATTGAGTTGGGAGCTGTTTGATGGGGGATTCCCATGGAACTCAATTGTCTCATTGTACTGACCCCAAACCCAGAACTCCACACTTTACATGTGCACAGAATGCCACAAAGGGTTTCTAGATAGATGACAGGTAGGTAGATAGATGCAACGTGAAGCAAGGGCTCCCCAGTCCCACCTAGCCCCAGCCTTCCAAGATATGCCTATTCACATGTAACCTTATTTACACATGCATTGTATGTTAGATATGGCAAACATGATGCCCCAGGTGCATCTTTGTCCCCTCTCTCTTTGACTGGAGCAACAACACCTGCTCTAAGAATGTATTCCCGCCGCGCACACACCAAGTGATATGAAGAATAATGTTGTCAAGCTGCACCTACGCTCACTTTGCAGACGGGTGCAAAGTTTTTATGCACATCCCATGCCCGTACACAACTGTCTTGTTACCTGGGGCATCCAGCTTTACCAACAACAAGTTAGCTGGAAAACTTGACTTTTGCCTTCCTGTTGTGTTGCAATGATTTCCACCTACATAATTGCTGCTTGTTTGGGTAGCCAGGTACAATGAGATATGCTGACTTGCCTGGCTTGTTTATTTCTCTCATTTGTACCTCATTCTTCCTCCCCGGAGCTCAGGGCCACATATAAACTGAGATCACCTTCGTTTTTATCCTCACAACCCTGCAAGGAAGTCTAGTTCCTTTCCATTGTTCTTGTGTATTTACTGTCTCACCTGATGCCCCCCTCTCTGCCCGCAACAGGGCAGCACCTATGCTGACTCTGCCTAATGGTATACAGTGCCTGATGGAATACAGGTTTTGATTATTCTTTCAAAATGAAAACATACAAGATTCCTTAAAAGTCTTGAACCCGGGCACTGGTCAAGCTTAGTATTGCTTAGCTTTACAGATGAAACTTCATATAGAAGCTGCATGGTGTGCTGCTATCTGGGTTGCACAATGGGGCTTTTTTAGTATATAGGATTATGTTCACACAAAATAATTGTCACAGGATTCCTCACTATTTACCAGATAATGTCAGCTGCTAATAGTTTGAATGGTGCTTTCCCTTCCATTGGAAGGGCATTCCCTTCTGTTGCTGCCCATGGAATGCTGTCCCAGTATCCTAGATGCTGGAATGGTCACTTTTCTGTAGCCTTGTCGCTTATACCTGAAGGAGCGTTTCCACCCCCATCATTCTGCCCAGACACTGAGGTCTAGCACCGAGGGCCTTCTGGTGGTTCCCTCATTGGCAGAAGCAAAGCTACAGGGAACCAGGCAGAGGGCCTTCTCGGTAGTGGCGCCCGCCCTGTGGAACACCCTCCCATCAGATGTCAAAGAGATAAACAACTACCTGACATTCAGAAGACATCTTAAGGCAGCCCTGTTCAGGGATTTTTAATGTATGACATATTAGTGTATTTTTGGTCTTTGTGGAAGCCACCCAGAGTGGCTGGAGAAACCCAACTAGATGGGTGGGGTACACCCATCTATAAAAAAAGGTTGCAACCCAGTGAGTTGTTTTCTAATATCTATACACTGGGGGAAGAACATTCACACCACTATGCAAAATAAACTTCCAGAATTATACTTACTTGCATGACCTAGCTGCCAAATTTGAGAATCTGAGTTTTCCTTGAGGCTGAATTTGTGGTAGAGAATTTACAGGGGCATGTGTGTATTACAGCTACTGGCAGACAGAGGTTTTGCAGAAGGGGGAATTTAGCAAGCTACACCTGCTGATTTCCTTCTTCTATGCAACTATTAAAGGTGCAGGAGCCTATTTTGCACCTGGCCATCCTAAGTCTCATTCCTCTGGTGCAGGATTCCTCAAACTCAGCCCTCCAGATATTTGGAGACTACAATTACCATCATCCCTGATCACTGGTCCTGCTAGCTAGGGATCATGAGAGTTGTAGGCCAAAAACATCTGGAGGGCCGAGTTTGAGGAAGTCTGCTCCCGTGCATTAACAGCAGTCCTTGTGTCTACAGAAAAAGGCGGATGCTAGCAGGACGTTACAATGCATGGACCAGAAAAGACAGGCCAGATCAGCACTGCAGGAAGAACAGGTCTCTCACACAAACATGGAGCTCTTAAGCCTGCTAGAACCCCATATGTCGGGCAGGTGTCATATTTCTATCTTGTGGAAACTGAAGGAAACTTTGCTAAAATGCACATAATAGGTTTTTCTAGACAGAGGTCCAAATACATCTTAAGAAGATCATTCAAGGTGCTTGCAGGAAAGCGTATCCCTTTTCTAAGCAGGAACTCCAGCAGTTGCAGTGGCAGTACACAAAAACAAACTCATAATGGCAGGCTCCAAACTTTCCTTCAGGGAAATGTTGTTTACCACACCCTTACTCTTCCAGTTCTGGGCGTGCACACACACAAGTAGGCCAGTCCAGACAGCCCACTCATCATCTCCTGCAACATGTTCTCCAGACTCCTAATCAGAGAGCTAATAAACTGAGGAGGCTCTTCCTCTGAAGTTGGATTATGACAGAACAGACGCCATCTTGAATTTATTGTTCCTGGCAAATGGAACTTTCCTTTGATGCTTTGCTTCCCAGCGAAGATGTCACCTTTACCTTTGGGGGATAGTATGCTTGTTTATGAACGACAAATGTGTTAATCCTACAATCCCTTTGTATCGCAAATGGGGATCACTTGGGGCAACTTTCCTCAGGCACATTCACCTTCAGATAGGTAGGCACAGCTCTTTCTCAGTTGTGTACAAGTTCACAACCCCCACCCCCTCACAATGATGCATTGGTGGGAGCCAAGCTGCACATATATAGGCAGGAGTAAAGTTGTTTTAAACTGTTTTTAATATCATGGTTTAATTGCTGTACCACACCCTAGAACCTTAAGGGGAAGGGCTTGTAATTATTAATAAATAAAAGTAAAATAATAGTTTTAATAATAATACACATATACTAGAGCTGGTTCACATGATGAGTCAAACTATGGCTTTCTGCAAACATGTAGCCTCCTTGAGAGGGGCTTGAGGCTGCTTTGCTCCCCACCTCCCCAGTCCTTTTTCCTGTCACGCCACGTTGAGCTAAGCCAAAGTTTGGCCGCATACACAGAGGCTCATGGTTAAGCCCTCTGCTCACTAACCACAAACTGTAGCCAAGGTTTATGTTCAAGGTTTTTTTATTGGCTACAGCTCATGGTTAGTGAAAGGTGAGATGTTGTTTGTTTGTTTTGATATACCGCCCTTCATCCGAATATCTCAGGGCAGTTCACAAAAATAACTACAAGCCCTGGTTTAGACAGCATGCAAAGCTAAACCCTGGCTTGACGCAATGTGGTGCAGCTAGGGCCACAGAAGTGGAAACAGCTGGAGGTTCCTTTCTGGAAGCCTGCCCATTTGCACCATGTTGTCATTGAATCATAGCTTGGCTTACCACATTGTGCAAATCTGGTCACACACAGCCATTTCCCCAATTCTAGCAGCATCACTGCCCCAGTCATTTCTCATTATGAATGCCGCCAGATTCTGAGTTGGAGAAAAGTGCTGCCTATTAATGCTATTGCATCAAACCCATTAACTACCATTTTAACCTCAAATGAATGATTGGGGGGGTGTATTTTAAACAAAATCCATCAAAATGTTGAAAGAAAAAGATGCCATTTGAAAAATTAAGAAAACTCAGGCTCTAAAGCAGTGCTTCCGAAACTTGGGTCTCCAGCTGTTTTTGGACTACAATTCCCATCATCCTTGACAACTGATCCTGCTAGCTAGCGATGATGGGAGTTGTAGTCCAAAAACAGCTGGCGACCCAAGTTTGGGAAACCCTGTTCTAAAGTGTTACCCTATTTTGAATCTGAGTAAGAATCAAATTCAGCTCTAGTTGTAAGGAAAAGGGGTATTCACAGTGGCCTTTCTTTCACCACGTCCAAAGTTTAGCACTCCCAAATAGGGACTATGACCTCCAACCCATCGTCATTGTATTTTTAAAAACCAACCCTAGCTGGCCCTTGTTCTAAACAAGTTCTAGACAAGCAAGTGGTATAGTAACATAGGGATCTTTACAAGGAGTCAGACCATTGGTCCATCTAACTCACCATTTTCAACACTGGCTGTCAGTGGCTTCTCCGGTGTCTCAAATAGAGGACACTCCCGGTCCTACCTGGAGATGCTGGGGTTTGAACCTGAGACCTTCTGCATGCAATGCAGATGCTCTACCACTGTGCTACAGCACCCAGTATTTCCAGGCCATCTTTCATCCAAGTACAAACTGGGCCCAGCCCTGCTGAGTTTCCAAGATCAGACAAGACTGGGCGTGTTCAGGGTGCTATGGCCAACGGCTATGTATGCAGGTAGGAGATATTGCAAATTAGACATCGTTCTGCGAAGGACAGGGTGTAGCCTTACTGGCCATCCAGGGTGGCTCATGATCAAGTCCATGACAATCCCTCTTTACAAAAATATAATAAGACAGACGGGCTGTGTATTAAATTACAGTTCAGCCAGTGCCTTCCTTGCACACTCTGTAATTTTAATGTGTGCACCTGCCAGTATTGTGATAATAGGCATGTAGCAATGCATGTCAGCAATTTTTTTTTAAACTTCCCACACAAAAGAGAACTTGCCGTGTGGCAAAGCACAAGATGTAAGGGAGGATAAAGACCTCGGGGGACGTTGCTGGCAGCAGATACACAGCAGGCCGTGGGGTGTGCAGCGTGGCTGGAGGCAGCAGGCAGGAAGTCAGGCTCCAAACAGGGTTTGCAGGATAAAGGAGGGAGCCAGAATCACTCAGATCACAGAAATGTACTATATGGATGGGCTAGTCTTCTTTGGAAAATGGGTACATAACTGGGAGAGGAGTCCCCTTGTTAAGAGATGCAGGGGACGGGATCGGGACGAGGTGGAGGAAAAATTCCTCAAATGGAATACTTAGTTTTGGTTTTAAACGCAGTGTAAGGTAGTCTCTATGTGAGTATACTGTATTCAATTATGGGGTATCAGAGTTTTTAGGAGCTAACCAGGCTGGGATAGTTGGGACAGCAAGTTTGTTGGTTTTTGAATGTCTGATGTAGATTTTTCAATTTCGTTGTTCTGTATGGGACAATGACAATAAAGATTATCGTATTGTATCGTAGTAAGCATGAGAGGAGGTTCAAACAACAGCCTAAGTGAGTAAAGGATTCCTCCTCCTGTTATTGTATAGGGGCCAATTAATAACTCCCTTTTAATTTGCATAATTTGCAGAAGGTTGTTATTAAGTCTCTGTTTTTGCTGAATGTTTATTGACTGTTGATTTGCTTCCAGTGTGCGTGTGTGCCACCTTCAGAGACCAGGCGAGTGGGGAGATCTGAAAGGTTCTTGGGAATTAGCTCAGATGAGCTGCAGCAAGCTGCTGCTTCTACTTTTGCAGACTTTGAAGTGGCCACAGAAAACTAGCTGAAACATCTTATTATGTCCCCTAATTGCAAAGCAGCATCTGGTGAAAAGTGGTCAAACATCCATCCAAGCTGTTCTTCTCTAGCAATACTCATTCAAATGTCCGAATACCCCATTTCACATATAAATGGAACTAAGAATTCAAAGTCATTCCTGGTGATCAGCATCCTGGATTTAATTTAGGAGTGCAACTTTTCAGCCTATAGGATAAGCAGAAGAGAAACGGAGGAATCACGTACCTGCTGAAAGTTATAAAACTGGGAAAGAGCAGAGGTAACAGCTTTACCTGAACAAGTGGTTGTGATAATTCGGACTTTAATATATTTACGTTTCCAATGTTCAAGCAAATTTACACCCCCAGGTAGAATTATTAAAAATGTCATTGGATACATATAGCAAGTTAGGCTGCTCTCTACAACAATGAACCCTATCTATAAGCTGTCCCCTCCAATGCTTTTGAAATACACTCATGAGTGTTCCAACAAAATGCAAGTTCTGTTTAGGGTGGGACACTTACCAAATCTCTTCTATAGGTCTTTGAGTATTAGAATCTCTGCAGGGCTGTCATAATTAAGGTGGCATTCTTGGCAAATCTTGGGAATGTTATATGGAAGGTAAGGAAACAGCATCCTTGGTTTGCTGAGTGGTACAGGGTGCTACCACATGACCCAGAAGCTGTACGCTAGCTCCCTTGGGCAGTAAAGCGAGATGAGCACCGAAACCCCAGAGTTGTCCACGACTGGACCTAATGGTCAGGGGTCCCTTTACCTTTTACAGGGTGCAACATTTCAAGACTGACACCGTAACTTGTGCCCAGACAGAAGTCAGTGCAGACATCTGGCACATGTTTGAACATGAAACAAGGGAAGCATGAGAGTTAAGCAGTATTTTTGTCACCTCTCTGATACAGAAGAGCACCTTTGCATCCTGAACCATGAAATATTTAAAGCAGGGAAGGGAAGAATGTATGGAAGTCACAATAACACTGGCTCAAATCCAGGAACTTTTTATTTCTCTGGAAACAACTCACCAGCCTGAGCAAAAATTGCAGGTGGCAATTGTACATTCTTTTAATTTTTTTTTAAAAAGGAAAGAAAGTGTTTGGTTTCATAAATTTCTGTCATAAGAAACAATTTCAATTATTGTACACCAAGCTTTTTACAAAGCATCCACGTTAAGATGGTTTCACCGGCTTCTACCATGCTGTCATCCTCTTATGCCATGCAACAATGCTACATCTGCTTAACACATTTTTAAAACATTAGTATTACAAAGATACAAAGGGTCACCAGTCGACTGGTATTTTTAAGACATGGAGATTGTGACACATTTCTTCTTTCGTCATTTTCCTAAGGAAGTTACCAAAAAATAATAATTTAGTTCACGTGGACAAGATGTGGGATTGCAGTCCAGCCTTGGATCGTTTGGTTCGTACCTCCATTCGTGTAACAGTGCCATTGGCCTCAAGGATTGGCTTCTGTGGTTCTTGTATTTCATAAGATCATAACAGTTATATGGTACCTCAAGGGTCATGGACTCCAGTCTCCTGCTTCAGCAGGAGTCACTAGACTTGGACCCTCCCTGATAGATGCTCCTCCAATCACCTCTTAAGGACCTCCAAAAAGGAGAACAATGTCACTCCTGACATCAGATTGTTCCACTCCAAGTTATTAGTTCCATTTAGATCAGCGCATCTGCAGCAACTAAGAATTAGTTTTGGCCGAGCCCCAAGGGTTCAGGAATGCCATTTTCAGTCTGGGCCAATTTCACATGGATTCAGCCCTTTGTCCTTGGCCTCTTTGTACATCCTTTGGAAGTCTTTGATGCGAGGGGCACAGCCTAACCTGGCCTCCCCAAAGTGCATGTGGCCCATGAAGAGGAAGTCTCCTTCTCCTGGTTTCACCCCACATTGCAGCAGGGTCTTGATCTGTCCTCGCCACCTCCCACTCTCCTCTGCGGGCTTGAAGATCTTGGTCTTCTGCCTGTAGATTCTGTTCACACTCACGTCAATGACGGAATCTTGCTGTTCCTCCTCATTGATTACATTTTGGATGGTACCTCTGACAACTGGGGAGAAAGATTTGGACACATAATTAGGTTGAGGGTTTATACATGCAAATATATTCACCTAACATTCCGCTTAATATCAGTTGGGTTCTGCATAAGGATTATAATTGGGGCAACTGATTCAGCAGCACCCTTGAAGACAATGGACGGTGGCACCACCAGAAAGTAAGGTACAATTCAAGCAATGTTGCCCTCAAAGCACATTTCCTTTAGAACAGAGTTCCCCAAACTTGTGTCTCCAGCTGTTTTGGACTACAATTCCCAATATCCCTGACCACTGGTCCTGCTAGCTAGGGAGGATGGGAGTTGTAGTCCAAAAACAGCTGGAGACCCAAGTATGGGCATCCTGCTTTAGGGTATTTCTCAGCCTCATTGTATATTCCTGCACTGAAGTCATAACACCTGCATGAGTAGCTTTTTTAATGTTAAATTTACAACAGGCAGCCAGGTTTGTCTTCTTTTGAAGACGTTACTCACAACAAAGTGTTATATCATACTCAAAATTCCTCCTACAGAAAGTACCACCGAATAGGGTTTGCATGGTTAAGGTTATTAAATACACACAGAGAGAGAAGGACATTTCAGTTGCATTCTATTAATGGCCCAGGAACATTTACATTGAATTCTCTGGCACACTGCCAGGGAGAAACACTTGCAGCAAGATGCCACCTGTCTGGGCAGCATTTTCCAGCATGGCTAACCTAGATCAATCCCACTGCAATTCCTGGGTGCTGCACCCTCACGCCCCCAGTCAGAATATTGCCCATTCTGTTCACTGTATTTATATCTGCAGCACATGTCCAAGACCCAACATGCCCAGCTGTTTCATTACAACATTTCCTTAACATTCCAAGCGTGGGAAAATTGCTTTAATGCTCTCTAACGATCACTAGGAGGAAAACAGCTACCTCGCAAGTCACGTTGGGCAAAGCCACTTGTCTTTCTCAGTGGCGGCATCAGGGTCGGGCAGAAGTCTAGGGTCCCATTCAGCAGGATGAAGAAAAGCCCCCTCCCCAACACGAGAGACATACCACCATTTGAAATAAGCAAGGTAAAACACATGGTGGCAGGTGGTGCTGTGGTCTAAATCACTGAGCCTAGGGCTTGCCAATCGGAAGGTCGGCGGTTCAAATCCCCACGACAGGGTGAGCTCCCGTTGCTCGGTCCCTGCTCCTGCCAAGCTAGCAGTTTGAAAGCACGTCAAATTGCAAGTAGATAAATAGGTACCACTCCGGCAGGAAGGTAAACGGCGTTTCTGTGCACTGCTCTGGTTCACCAGAAGCGGCTTAGTCATGCTGGCCACATGACCCAGAAAAACTGTCTGTGGACAACCACCAGCTCCCTCAGCCTGTAACGCGAGATGAGCACCGCAACCCCAGAGTTGTTCGCGACTGGACTTAACTGTCAGGGGTCCTTTACCTTTACTTTACTTTAAAACACATTAGTAGCTGAGGCATCAGACACTAAGGGGGGCATAAGATCATTGTGTGCAGACCATTGGGGGAGGCTGGAAAGAAAAAGGATACCTTGTAGTAGTTGAACTCAGGGTGTTGGAAATTTTCAAACCCCAAATAGGAACTACTGTATCAGACTCTCTCAGGCAAAATATATTTAGAGCAAAATAAAGCAATCAAGCTTACATATTCTGGCATGCTCTCTGCTTACAAAACTGATCAGAGCCATTTACACCACAGCTATTCATAGACAGTGGACGCTCGGGTTGCGAACATATTCCGTGCAGGATGCACGTTTGCAACCCGCAGCGGTGCGTCTGCACATGCGTGGGTTGCGATTTGGCACTTCTGCGCATGTGTAAAGCACAATTTAGCACTTCTGTGCATGCGCGCCTGCTGAAACCCGGAAGTAAACCGTTCTGGTACTTCCAGGTTTCGGCTTGTCCGTAACCCGAAAAAAATGCAACCTGAAGCGTCTGTAACCCGAGGTATGACTGTACACAAGTGAGACTATATGCCACAGTTTCAGTGGATACACACATGAAAGAGATCTGTTTTCTCAGTGGTTCACAGCTTACAGACAGTTCTTTGAATTGGAACTGTTTTAACTTTCAGTTTTTCAAATCTAATTTCACCGCCCATCATGGACTTCCAGCTTACTGAAAGGTGAGCCCAGTCATATGGGCCAAATTAAACTGCAATAGTGACATGGATAGGCGCAACGCTCCCTGACCAGCACAGCATTATCCTATTCCATCCTGACACAGACTGCCCCATCTCATATTCTGCTATTCTTAAAGCACATTGTGGGTTGGCCTCCATGGGGACATAAAGGCCTATGGTGTAGAAAAGGGCCCTACTCCATCCACATCATACAGGGATAACATGTAAAACTCATCCATTCTTTTCTTTTTTTACCTTCCCCCCCCCCAAAAAAACCCAACCCACATTTATATGAAAACAGGCATTTGAGTATTTGGGCTTTTGTTAAGGTTCCATTTAGGAACATCAAGAGGGCAATTCCTAATGCTTTCCCCTAAAAACCTTTGAACTTCTACCTCTATTATTGCCGCCTGTCCCTCTTTGTCCAGCACAGAAAAGAGCTAGCCAAATACAATGACTTTAATTGAAGCTCTTCAGAGCTAAAACCCATAAAAGCCCTTTCCTCCCTTTCCCCCTTTGTGCTTCTGGACACACTTTGTTTACTCCGAAATGGGAAGAAAAGGACTCCCTTGTTTGTCGCAATCCGGAGCTTTCAGTTTGCTCACTGTTTGCTGAGGTCTCTGCAAGCCAAATCCAGCAGGTTGTCACAATGAGGGAGTGGGGAAAGAGGGGTTTGAGAGCGTGATGGTGAAGGAAACAGCAACAGAAAAATCAAATAAACTTACCGAAGTCACTAGTGCAGACAGCCAAGAGGACTTCCGTGTCACTGCAAGGGCGGCAGGGAGCTGAGGAAAACAGAAAGGGCATTTCAGTATCTCAAGAACGTGAATGCCACAAAACCCGAAGGATTTTCACTAAACACACACACAAACACCCTTTAACCTCAAAGGTCATGCTTGATGCACCACTGAAAGCAGCATGCAGGGAGCTCACATCTTTAGCTTGGCAGAAATAATGCCCTATCAAGCAGGGGAGGGACCTTTGGCCATGTCCACACGATACATTTCAAGAACTCTTACTCCACTTCAAAAACGCCCTTAACAAACTACAGGTCCCAGGATTATGTCAGGAAAACCACATCTGTTAAAGTGATCTGAGTGCTTGGCATGTGTGGTGTGGATGTGGCCGTTTTTCAGCCTGAAGCCCACCTTCCCTTCTTGAAGGGGGGGATGTGTGTGGATGCTGCACATATCAAAGGTTGGTGGGGCCAGTGGCAAAAATGGGCATAGCAATAATAATAATAATTTATTATTTATACCCTGCCCATCTGGCTGGGTTTCCCCAGCCACTCTGGGTGGCTTCCACCAAAACACTAAAATACAATAACCTATTAAACATTAAAAGCTTCCCTAAACAGGGCTGCCTTTAGATGTCTTCTAAAAGTTTGGTAGCAACACATCCACCTATGCACAAGAGGTTAGTTTCTACTCACACTCCCCCTCCAGGCAAGTTAAAAGCATCATTAGACTTCAATGACATTTTCCAGCCAGACAAAAACACCTAAGGAAGTTATGAAGCAGGACTGGCGAGAGGCAAGGCTGGAGGAGAGAAGGTGGTATGGGGAGAGATCAGAGGGCCAGATAGACACAGTTGAGGCCCCTGGGTCTGAGGATCCCCCCCCCCCCCGCTTTAAAGACTAGATTTACAGCAGGTTCTTCCCTGCTTCTGAGTTAATTTGGCTATCTGGTGGAAATCATAATCTTATTTTTCTTATCATTAACCTTTATAGGGGTTTATTTCTTCTCTCATACACAACTGTCATCTAAGTGGAAAGTAATGTGGGTGGTGGATGATCCAGGAAGCAGGTGCCACAGCGGGGAAGGTGGTTATCTTTAATAATTGCCACAGTGAAAAACCATTCAAGTGCCATGCCTACAGTCTTGTTTGTTTTGTTTTGAACGCCTGCCACCTTTTTGGCACTCCTTTGAAAATTTAAACCAAAGTCACTCCCATACCTAACTGCATGGAGTGCAAAGAGAAGAGTTATACATGGAAAAGTTTGATCGTGACAAGCTGGCAATTCAAGATGGTGTAGATCTTTTCTATGGCTTAAAACTATGGAAATGCAGAATCCGGGCAGGCTCTCCAGGTTTGTTGGACGGGGCCATTTTCTACTTGTTTTCTCTCCAGCCACAAGGTGCAGAAATGCTTCACAATAATCATGGCAGCTGTGTGCCAGAGGACGGTTATGGGAGCCTCAGCAAATCACATTCATAAATGTCAAGTTTGCCTGGCACTTTTTCTGCACAAATCATGATCACGGGGACCAGATCACAAGTAAGAAAGTCCCCATCCCTTAGCTACTTGGTGACCTTTGTGATCAAACACACACTGTAGTAGGTCTGCTCCAAAACCTCATTGGTCTAAGAAAATGCTGATTCAAGTATGTTTCAAGAAACAAAGGTTCTTGTGTCATACGTGGCTGAGACAGGAAGATCAAGTGGAGACTAAAGGCCAGATCTATTACAGCTCCCAAGAATCATGTAGGCTAGAAACAGTAGAGAGACCCTATTGCAGGGGTAGGCAACCTAAAGCCCGGGGGCCGGATGCGGCCCATTCACCTTCTCAATTCGGCCCACGGACAGTTCGGGAATCAGCGTGTTTTTACATGAGTAGAATGTGTCCTTTTATTTTAAATGCATCTCTGGGTTATTTGTTGGGCATAGGAATTTGTTCATTTTTATTTTTTCCCCTAAATATAGTCTGGCCCACCACATGGTCTGAGGGACGGTGGACCGGCTCACGGCTGAAAAGGGTTGCTGACCCCTGCAGTAGAGAGACCCTATTGCTAATCTAATCAAGGGAAGAATGTAGCTGCTCTTTGTACGGGGCCAGCTACTTCTGCCGGGAGAAGGTGGGTGCTGTTAGGAGTGCAGATGTTTCTATAATACCCTATTCAGTTATGGAATTCCTTTTCTCTCAGAGGTCTGCCCTATCTAGCAACATGCTAATTAAATCTACCCGCTAGAGGCCCAGAGACTGGGAAGGGGGTTGGGTGAAGAACACGACCTTCTTTGTCATCCCAACAAGGCACTTGCAACCATCATAAATGTGAAAACCCTCCTCCTCCAACTGTAGTAAGGATCCAAAATTAAGCTCATTGGTGGCTTAAGACAGAACTGAAGCACTGGAAGATTATAGAACCTTTGCCCTCCTCTCATACCACCTGCTATTTAATGACTATATTTTTTCCATTTGAGCAAAAGTGAAACAAGTAGCCTGGGATCCCATCCTTAAACTCATATTTTATTTTATTTTATTTTATTTTATTTTATATTCCACTTTTTTCTCCATGGAGCTCAAGGTGGTGTGCATGGTTCTCCTCAATTAATCCCCACAACAACCCTGTGAGGTAGGTTAGGTTGACAGGCAGCGACTGGCCCAAGGTTACCCAGCGAACTTCATGGCTGAGTGGGGGTTTGAACCCTGGTCTCCCAGGTCCTAGTCTGATTATCTAACCACTACACCACACTGGCTCTTCAGGACTGGAAAAAGAGTCCAACTGATTTCAATGGAATTAAGAAGATGTGAATCAGTTGCCCCTCACTCCGCCCCCTTTTTATAGCCACATGAAAGGCATTAATGTGCACACCGCCAGCTCATAGAATCCATCAGTGGCTGCTTCTACAACTTCACTGTATCCTGTGAGTCGCTAGCTAGCACACTAGTATTCTGTTACTATAGAGAAAATCACCCACAACAGCTGAGAAATTCAGGAGGAGCAGCTAACCTGTGACCAGCCATATGTTGTTGGAGTATAACTCCCATCAGCATGGCCAATGGTCAGGGATGAGGGAAGCTGTAATCCAGCAACATCTGGAGAGCTACAGGTTAACCACCCTGGACCTAAGAAGCAGAATATAACACATTCCAGTAAATGTGCTTAGGATCATAATCCTACGACCTGGTCAGATACTGTTCCCCATGGAGAATTCTCAACTAGGTAAGTAGCCAGCTTAGATGGAAAGGATACCTTGGGTTGTTTCTTGTTTTATCTGAATGCAAACTCTTGTTTGGATACAGCATCCACTCCTAAACTGAGGGGACTGGATTTCTGGATAATCAAGTAAAGGTTCAGCCCAGTTTGCTTATTACTTTTTGCAAGGGATAACAGGGCAGAACAAGGAACTCAAGAGGGCATCACTACAACAAGAGTCCACTCCCAGAGAACATCTGCCTGGTCCAATACAAGTAACATTTGACGGTTTTGTTCAGGAGGGTTGGTAGACTTTGGACCTGTCAGACATACTTTTGCTTTTTATAAGATTCCTGTGACCCACCAAGCAGAGCCTGGTGCTTGCAACAGACATATGGTTTTCAGCATGGGAACTAAGCTGAGTTTTTCACACAAAAGCCCTCTTCTGGTCAGCTTTCTTCATTTCGGCCACTTAACTCAGGTGCTATTGTTAAGCAATTGGGAGTCAGAAAACCCTTCCTGGTCTACTGAAAATCACCCAAAGATCCACCAAGAGATGCTGACCTACCTTGTGCTCACCCCAGCAGAGCTAGCTAGCGCCTAGAATACTGAATTTCCTTGCCTCAGCTTAGAAATCTAATATTGCAGAACAGAAGGTCCCAGAGAAGCACTGACCCAACCTGAAGGATTATGTCTCCAAATCCAACCAATTGCTCCAGCCAGATGATTTATATACAGCTCAGTACTTCATATAATAGGATTACACATACAAAGCACGACTTTTTCAAGAGGAAGAGAAGCCTGAGCAGAGAAATTGTTCCCTCTTTGATGCAAGAATGATTTCTTGATTAGTACAAGGAACTAATGCAAGGGAAAGCACATACAGTACTGAATACTACTTTGGGGTTTCTGTACACAACTCTTGAGCATGCTTGACAAAGGGTGCTTTAATTTAGACACTACAAGGAAGTGCCTAGAAGAAGTCTGAGTGATTCGTGCCTTCCTTTATGCACTTGTCATGTAACTACCTGAAGCAGCATGCACCTAGAAGTCATTATCACAGTGGAGATGGCAGGCACTGGATGGGCAAATCTCTTCTGTGACATGTGAGTGCTTGAGTCTACTCAATGCCACAGTTAGGATCACTTGTAACAAACATGTAAGAGCAAGATCCCCCAACATTTATTACCTTATATAAAATCTTCACAGTGCACCAGGTGCTTTCTGCATTAAGGTGGGGGTTGGTAGGAGAAGAAGCACATGTAGAAACTCTACAATATGCTATTCAAAGTCCAACAACATTCAGACCATCAAAAATGATGGGTCTTTGTGCTTAAGGATTCTCACAAGGTGAAAGGATGCCGATGAGGAGCACATTTATGCACTTCTATATTGACTTCCTAAAAGGACATGGGTGGCACTGTGGTCTAAACCATAGAGCCTAGGGCTTGCCAAACAGAAGGTCAGCGGTTCGAATCCCCGCAATGGGGTGAGCTCCCGTTGCTTGGTCCCAGCTCCTGCCAACCTAGCAGTTCAAAAGCACGTCAAAGTGCAAGTAGATAAATAGGTACCACTCTAGTGGGAAGGTAGACGGCGTTTCCGTGCGCTACTCTGCTTCGCCAGAAGTGACTTAGTCATGCTGGCCACATGAACTGGAAGCTGTACGCCGGCAACCTCGGCCAATACAGCGAGATGAGCGCCGCAACCCCAGAGTCGTCCACGACTGGACCTAACGGTCAGGGGTCCCTTTACCCTTATATTGACTTCCTAGTTTGTGTGTTGCTATGGGAAGGAATCATTTACAGCTAAGATTTATGAATAGAGACATTTTTATGAGAAAATCTCCTGCACACTTAGAAAAGCAAAGCCTGCCCCCCCCCCGCCGCCACCATGTTGAGCAATATAAATATATTTTAAGAAAACAAAAAATACATGCATCACGCTTACTAATGCATTTTCTGCTTTTGGCAGAGGTTTAGATATCCCCAATGCTCAGAATCCCAAGCAAGCAATAAAAACCACATATGCTCCCCAATAATCCAATCTGCAAGAGAAAGAAAAGCAATTTCACTACATTTCCAAAGCCGGATGCTAGCTCTGCTAAAGAGACCATGGCATAATGCTGGCATTGTGCATGCTTGCTATCAAATCAACTGGGAATTCCTTTGATGGAGTGTCGTGACCTGAAGTAACCTAAAGCAGCCCTTACCCGCACTTGCAACCCCTTGACCCCCACTGCCAACTAGTGCATCTGAAAGCCCTCTGTTTACTTCTGTACAGGAAAAGTGGAGATATTTTTACATTTTGCCTTGTGAAACTGCAGTGTAGGCCCAGGTGCCTTTAGCCAAGTGACTTCTTGGTTTCTGCTGAAACCATGGCAATAGGCTTTACTGCAAGCCAACTAACGCTGTAGAACACTTATTTCCTTCAATTGCAGTACTTCTCTGCAACAGGAAGAAATGGACATGAAAACTCCTGGGTCGGTGCAAGGTGGTCAAAAGTCTACATTATTTCTTGCAGCTTTCCCCCTGCGGTTAACATGTCTTACTGAGGAATTCTCATCATCTACATTACACAATATGTAGATTTCAGTTACCCCATGGCCAAGCCTCTCTTGCCGGCAGTCATTCACCTCCAGCTACTGCCTGGAGGTAGGTTTGCCATTAGAGCTCCTCAAATACCGACCAGGGTGAGAAGTGCTATGTATACTATTGGGTTTTTGTGTTCCTAATATTAGCACAAGGAAGAGTGGGGCCAGTAATTTGTGTTACAGTTCTTTTAAGACAGGTTATTTCATGATTACACAGCAAAGGATGCACCTAACCTTAAAAGAACAAAAATAACAAAATGCACCAAGCCCAGCATTAAGACCCAGCACCTTCAGAAAGCTGCTGGAGTCCCACAGCTAACACCTGCCCTGGGACCACCACCCTTAAACATTTTGCTCCAAGGCACTGCCAAAGGAGTAGATACCAGCAAAATGGAATGTAACTAAGGAAGCAGCAAAGATGGTCAGGGACCTTGAGACTGATCCACACCCTACATTTAAAGCCACATTCAACACACATGGTGTCCCCCTAAGAATCCTGGGAACTGCAGTTTGTTAAGGATGCTGGGGATTGATATCTCTATGAGGTGGAAACTATTGTTGCCAGAACTCTTTTGGGGAAATAATGTGCTTTAAATGTATGGTGTGGATCTGGCCTAAGCTCAAGGATGAAAAGCTGAAGGAGTCAGGCACATTTAGTCTGAAATGAGGCTACTAAGAGGCTGTCACATGCCAATTTTATTTTCCTGTTGCTCCAAAGGGTAGAATCTGAACCAATAGGTTTGAATTACAAGGGGGGAGGGAGTATTTAGATTGCAAATGGTTAAGGACAAACCTCTTGATGGCATGAATAGTGGATCAGACTGCCAAACAGACACAACACATTTCAGCCCTTCTCAGTTGTTTTAAACTGAGTCTGAATGAGATGCCGGAGTAGTGGGCTTTCTGCAATGATAGAGGTTTGGAGTAGGTGCCATTTGATGCCCACCCACCCCCCAACTCTGTAATTCTGTTATTCTCTCCAACAATAATCAGCTTCTGGTATTAATGAAAAGCTATGAAAGCAGTAGAAGAGAACTTTTGTTTTCTTCTGGGGTTTGACAAAAACAAGGTTTTTTAAAGGCACGCTGAACTTAAGATCGTGTTTCTCTTGACTCGTCACCATCTTCATTCCATCCATAAACTTGCCTATGCCATAATTGCAGAACTGAGAACAACATCCAGCTGCTGAACAAAACGAACTAGCTTCTCTCACAATGTTTATAAGAAAAAGCTGTGTAAATTATAGGGAATGTCAGGGAGGAATAGACACACTGGAAACTTATAATGAGGAATCATAAGTGGTTCCAAAGTTCTATCGTTCACATTCAGAAAGTAAAGGTAGAGATCCTGCACCTAGGTACATATGTACTAAACTCATTAAAAATCAAAGCAATGTATGCTTCCATTGCTGGATGCAAGATCATAAACTTACGCCCATTTAAATCAACACGTAGCGACTATTTCAATCCAAAATCGAGACAAGGGCAAACTGGTTGCTCAACTATTGGCAGCTGTTTGAGTACCAGTGGTCAGAGTTTGATTATATTCATTATGGAAGGAAATCTGTTCCAACACTAGTGGCTCTTCTGTAATTATATGTGGGTTCAGAGAGTCCAATTTTCTCCAAGGTTGACAACAATTATGATCAAATCTGACTGGAATGGAAATGTTAGATGGTGGGGAAAACTATGAACAGCTGGGAATTGTTTTAGGTAGGGTGCACTCAAGGGCCAAAAAGCCACAACTCCAAAACAAATCGAAGCTCTAGTATGCAAAAATGGGGAGGGGGGAGATGCTTCCTGAATAGTTCTAGTGCTACAAAAATCTGAAGTGCTTCTCCCCAAACAAACCACTCCAGCTCCTATCATGCCCAGCCAGCATGACCAACCATCATGGATGATAGGAATTATAGTCCAGCAACATTTGAGGAGCACCATGTTACTTAAGAAGATGATCTCTCTCATGTCACCACACTGAGAAAATGGACATCCCACCGACACCATTCTTGATGTGACCCAGAAGTCCCGGGTTCTCTCACTGTTTCTGTGAAATGCCCCTTTGCCTCCTATCACAAAAGTGCACCAACACTGCCCTAACACTTCAACAAGTTCACTATTTCAATGGAGAAGTAATTGTGTTAGACCAGAGTCATACAGAAGCTTGATATCAGCACACTCAAATGTAAGATTTAATGGGTGAACGGGTTCAATGTCTGCGGGTCTCTGGCACAAGTCGACTAAAAACCAGAGCAACATACACCTGAGGAAAGCTTAAGGTTTCACTGTGGGGATCCTGGGGTTTGCCACCACAACTGGGGACTGAAGAAAACATAATATATTCACAAGGCTTAAGCGCTCTCAATGGTTCTTTTGGATTTGACAAAGTTATTAATCTCAAATTCTCTTTCATTCCTGTTAAGGCTTGTGGCTTATTGTCATAAAAAGGTAAAAAAAGCTAAGAAAAACAACAATTCATCTCATTTTGAACGTTCACCATATAAAACAATCCCTGCATCCTTCGACTGACTTTGCCCGCTGGGACTATGGTATTTCATTAAACGTATTTACAGGTTAACCTGTTTTTCTTTTTTAGAAAATTCAAGTCCGGAACCCCATGTGCAGCAGGGCTTGGTCTGTGTCCTAAAGAATGGACCGCTTTAGTTTCTTTTGCCCCTTCCTAAGGGAAAATGCTTTGTGTAATGTGGAAAAGCAGGAAGGCAAACCTTGGGCCAGGGAGACATGGGTTCAAACCAAAAACTTGTCTCGGCTTTGTGGCTCTAAACAAGTCACCATGTGCACATCAGCCCTGCCTTTCCCATCCATGACGGAGGGAGCATATACAAAGGTTCCCAAAACTTCCCTGCAATCAAAAACTCTGTGCAGGATTACAGACCTCCCTTTGGACCATGCTGCTAAATGCAACCTGGTTGAGAGGTCTGGGGGCAAGACATGCCCCCAAACCTCCATCACAGAAGAAGGGTACAGTTCAGCCAGTTTAGAAGTAATAGGAAACTAGAGCTTGCCCTGACATCAGAAGTCATTGAAAGATCATCTTTACTGATAGCGCTGTGAACGCACCAAAACCTGGTCCCAAACCATCACTCCCTGGTTCAACCAATCTCTCTTTCAGAAATTTGGATCTTCTATACTCTGCATTGTATGTCCTGTTTGCTATGGAGAAAAGGGAAGATCTTAGAATTATCTTGTTCCATTTAGTTAGAAGGAGGGGGGTGGCTTGTGGGCACACCACAAGTTTCCTGCCCTTTTATACTTGTAAGTTCTTATCTGTTATTTTGCTGAGCACAAAAATAACTTTCCCTTGCCCTCTGGTATCAGGACAATAAAACTAAGCCCTGGTATATATTAACCCAAGCTGGAGCCCTGCCAGGAAAGTGTCTCAGCCCCATATGGAATCCAGATTGGAGTGGAATTGAATTAAATGACTAGGAGCTGGTTAAAGTTAAACTTGGAAAGCAAGTTAGTGAAAGAAGATCAAAGTTTAAGGAAGCCTTTCAAAATAACCTAAGCAATCTTTTATGAGCAGTTTCTGAGAGAGGCTGGAAGTGTGGAGGAGGAGGCATGGATTTTGGTTCATTTCAGACTTTTTTCACGGAATGTTGGGCAAAATTATAGCAACATCTGGAATTGCATACGCAGACAAGGCTTTAGCTGAAGTGTGGAACGTGCCACAGCGGCTGCTGACTAAAAGGGAAAATGCAGTCCACAAAGCTGTTCTCCTGGGCCAAGTCTCACTGAAATGAATGTGAACTACCACAAAATAGGCTTTCGCCACACACACACACACACACACACACACAGAGAGAGAGAGAGAGAGAGAGAGAGAGAGAGAGAGAGAGAGATCTAGCCCTTCCTTCTTTTAATCTCAAATAATAATAAAAATGTTGTTTCTTGTATTACAGCAAAACTTCAGAGAAGTCACCCCTGAACCCAAATATTTGCCTTATGTAATCATTTTAGACTGCCACATCAACTCACTCTGGGGGACCTGCCTTTTGTGTACACTGCGCCCAAAAAACCCCAAATTCTGATGCAAGGTAATCCAAATTCTGCAACCTAAATAAAATATCCTTATCGTGCCACATTTATTCTGTTTCTGCTAAAGCCCTGGAATAGGATGAAGAGCCATGCAGAGCACAGAAGTCCCACCTTCTGGTAGTTCTGCTTGGTGCTCCTTGAATTCAAGAAGGCACACATTTAAACTAATTTCTGCCATCAAATGCTAGGAACCTGTTTCTTCAACAGTTTGATCCTATATGTGAGTACTCAGACCCAAGTGCCATTAAACTCTGCAAAGCTCATGCCTTCCTATAGGACAGCAGCCTCGTATTTTCTCTGCCTCCTATTAAAACCACATCAGCAAAAGTGACCACACTTTTGAGAAATCCAGCGAGGCGCTTCAGAGTTCATTTGCTCCTCATTACGGTGGCTTGAAGTTTCAGGGTGGGTTTTTTTTGGGGGGGTGGGAGGGTGTTGTAATGCCAGTTGCCTGTGAATTGTTGCATTATTCATCCCGCAGGTGAAACTTGGTAGCAAGCCATACTGCTGCTCAGGGTAACCACAAGCATGAATCAGCCTTACTCAGTGGGCTTTCATCCAGAAACAATCTCAGAGCTTCAGGGAGATGAGATCCAAATACTAAATTCTGAATACAGGCAGGTGCCCTGACATCAACAGAAGATGCCCAGCACCTAAACCCCATGCAGATATATTCTTAGGAACTGTTCAAAACATATGCAGGATACTAGGCTGGTAAAGGCTGTAGTATTTAGACAAGTACCTGTACATGTCTCACCTAATCAGTTTTGGTTTTTTGTGGGTTTTTTTAAGGACACTGCAAGATGCAAATATGATGTTAGCTGGCTAAAAATTGACTGGGCTTCTAAAAATGAGAATACAGACTTATGTTTCCAGTAATCTGCATCATATTACTCCGAGTACCCGCAGAACCTGCTGACCTTTTTTAAAATGCATGTATGTCTGAAGGATTAGACTAAGAAAAAAAGGGGCTCATTTATTAATTTTAAATAACCTGTTTGGCCTCTCCAGAATGGGATGCGTCACTGTTAGGGTGGGAGGGCTCCTCTCTCTCTCCCCTTCTCTCTCTTTTTCTTTCTCTCTCTCTCTCTCTCTCTCTCTCTCTCTCTCCTCCCAGCCACTGCTTTTGGGTGTAACCTTGCTTTGGCTCTGAAAACGTAGCTTTTTTGTGAAAAGGTCATTATGAGCCTTTTGGCAGGCAAAACTCTGCAAAGCAGGTTCCAGGGGCCTGTGCAGCCTCAAATAAGCTACAGCTCTTTTGCTCACACATCCTTCCGCCCTTTCCTCTCCTGCCAACAAAATTTAAGCCCAAAAGAACAGGGTAGGTGGGGGTGAATCATTAAACAAGGTTCAGTCGAATGCCTACTTGACATTTGAAAGAGAAGCCGTGTCTGAGAGGAAAGGTAGGGGGTGGGAATAAGCTTTTATTAATTGACAGGATTGCAAGGCGTAGAAGTGACTTTATTGCCACCTTAGGCCTACTCAGACCATACATTCTACCCCAAAGAACCTTTCCACATGATGAGAGGGGAGGGAAAATTTCAAAGCTTACACAGTCCCCTGTGCTTTTCTTGGTTTTGGTGCTATATTTGGAACACGAGAGATACTAAGCTCACATAGATGCGTTTATGCTGTTCCACTGACCATGGTTCATACCTTGGAACCAGGCTGTGTGCTCTCCACCACCCCCTCCCCCCACAAGCAAATTCCTCTGTTCATTCTGTTCTGCATATTAACCCATGGTTACGTCTCCACCAGGGTTAACCATTTTTACAGTCAGGACACCGTGGTTCTCCTGCAACCATACATTGGTGTGGATCACAGGGTCAAGAGAGACCCTGAATTCAAATCAATGCATGTCCTTGGATAAGAGCTATAGCTCAGCAGAGCGTGTTGCATTCAGAAGGTCTCCGGTTCAATCCATGACATCCCCAGGTAGAGATGGCGAAAACCCTGGTCTGAAACCATGGAGAGCTGCTACAGTCAGTGTGGCCAATGCTGAGCTACTTGGGCAGTGGCCCGACTGTATATAAGGCAGCTTCCTAATTTCTGTATCTTATCAGGCATTCTGTAACATTCCTCACCTGCTTCCAGAATCTGTCCCAAATGTCATCATGTGCAACTGTTGAGGTGTGTGTGTGTGTCACCTGTACACATCCATCCTTCATCTCTGTTTCCCACCCACCCACACTTTTGCCTCATACCAGAGAAAAGGCTTTTCAAGAGCTATATTCCTCAAACATTAACCTTTGGAAAATAAGCTGGTTACTGTTCTCACTTAACTTGAGCGGCATTTCAATGTGGGCATTTATAAATGTTTTCAACTCGCTACCGGACATTAAAATATAGCAAACCCATAAACCGGCAGACCTGCCTTACAAGAAGTAGATCCCATCAAGATAGAGGAAATGTTTGTTAAAGTTTGACTTGGCCTAATGCAGAACAACCCCTGAAGGTAACAGGGGCTTATATTTCTGAATTCCAGTAAATTAAGTTTGCAGATCTTGGCTAAGGCACAGGGAAGCAGTTTTCCAGTGAAAACTAAGGAGCTTGGAGTTTAAAAAGCACTTTGAATATACAGAGCAAACTCTCATGGAGTAAAGTGCTTTTCAACATGAGTAAGGGGATTGGAATCCTAGATGAACAGCTGCAAAGAAAGATTATTCAAGCTCAGTGAGGGACCCCAACTTTCCTTCCTTTCATTAAAAAAAAGAAAGAAAGATTTGAGGCAGCACTGTATTTTTGTGTGCGCATATAGTGGTTACCTTTGAGCGAGCCTCAGCCCCAAACCTTCTTTGTTTATTCTCAAGTGCTTTAGTAAAGTTCCCATTCCATATTTATATGAGAGAGTGAGACAGAGTGGAAAGGGAGGGAGGGGGCTGTCTCTAATTTTATTAGTTTTCCTCTCAGTTGGTAGTGCCACTGGCTATATAGCTTTCAAGCTGATCTCAGAAGATTTCGAAGAAAGTTACTCACTACTTTGTCCTCTTCTTAGGAGAAGTAGCTGTTCTCTCACACACACTCAGAAGCCCCATGTTGAATTTCTATTGCAAATTACCCCATGTCCTGATTCATCATTATGTCCCCACTCACACACAAAAAAAATACATCACCGGTTGCCAAAGATGAGAGCATGAAAATGTGTAGCATACTGATGCAAGGAAAGCAGGCAAAAAGATGTTACAGAGACAAAATGCAAGTTCTTTGTAACGTGTAGCTCTGCCCTTAGATCCTACACATCACACAGTGGCCTGGTTCACACATAAGGCTAAGCCATAGTTTGTTTGTTATTTTTTTTAAAAAAGAACGTGTTAACAATTTGTCCCACAGATGATGGCTTGTTCTTTGCCTGCTCTTGTGCTTTGGTAGTTTAGTGAGCACCTGGTGGTGATGGTGCAGGTGTTAAGCATGTCACGGTTGGGAAAGGGTGCTAGTTTGCACATAGCACCAAGACATAGCCTGTGGCTTCATAGACCATAGCAAGTCAGAATTAAGCTGCTGCGTAGGGCTTGCTCATAGCACTAAGCCATGGTTTAGCACTGTGTGTGAAACCAGTATCTCCTGGATGATGTTATATAGTTCACTTTCAGCGCCACAGTCCAATGTGAACTTTGTGGTTTTGTGCTTACAGGAGGGGGTGGCATGAGCATCGGACACACTCTTTTTGCCACATGTATAGAAATGCTGCCTAATTACTCCTTCCTATTTACATAACTCCAGCCTTAGGTCAGCATACATCAGTGGACCAGTCATTCACTTTCAGCTGCTGAAATTAGCAGCAGACACAACTCACATGTTGCTATCCATTAAAAAGGTAATTCCCAATCTTTGCTCATTCACAAAATGTTTCAAACTCACTTATGGAGTGGAGGGAACTCAAGTCAAGTGCATACACAATGAAGATCACCTGCCATGGCCTCTGCCAATCCTACACCCTGGGATTTAACATCAAATGACAACCAAGTCCACTGTATAGCATGTCTTTGAATGAAACTCCCAAAAACCACAGAACATAAATGGGTATGTACCATAGGAATATGGCTAAACCAACAGAACATGGTTTACAACACAGTGTTTGTTCCCTGCTCCAAGAAGCTTGCTTGGGGAAGTCTAGTTTTCATGGCATTATTTGCAAAGCCCAGATTGAGAATGGAGGAGTGTAAACTAATAAAATGCTGGAACTACTAATTAAAACCATGGCACTCTGCCAAACACTGCTTATGTGCTGATGCACTCTGCAATGTCATAATTCTGGGGGCACAACGGGTCATTAAAGTATTAATATGATGACTCGGGTGCTTTGATGACAGCTAGGTTAGGAAAAGGAGCAGAAAAAAAATTAAGGGCAGGGTTCAGTAATATCATAAGGGTGCAGGAAGAGAGGCAAGTAGTCATTTAGCTGATGAGAGTACATGACTGCAGGGAGGGGGAAATAAGTTCAACTTATGTGAAACCTCATTAAGCATAAACTTCACAGCTGCCTTCTTTTAGCCCTTCAAAACTATTATCTCTCAAGCTAGGATCAATTCACACCTTTCTTGAACTCTACTGCCTCCCATTAGTCAGTAAGGAAGGCAAATGCAGCAATACTACACATGATCCCTGGAAGCAAGTTCCATTGAACTCAGTGGGATTTGCACCTGAAATGCATAAGAATGTGTTGTAAATGTGGTGTAAAAAAAGAAGAATTTTCACTAGAATTTAACTGATGGGTCCTAGCTACCAAACATGAGACAGCCTTTGTGTACCACAGTAAACCACGAACCATGGCTTACCTCCCATGAGCCGAGGTGATCACACTTGCTTTATTCCTCCTGCTCACATTTGGGGGGGGGGGACCACCATCCCTGGCTTAGCATTACATTGGAACTGAAGCTTGTTCTTGGCTTATCATTATGGTTTGTCTGGAGTAGAATAAACCATGGTCCCTGGCTCAGATGCAACACTAAACAATGGAGTGCGGTTCATTTCTCCCTAGTTTAAGTGAGGAAGAACTAAGTGAGTGCAAAAGGGCTTATAAATTTATAGCTGAATCTACAGAAATAATCAGCAGGTGGTTTGCTAGAATATGGGCAATCATATGCTAAAGTTACTATCTTATACCTCAAGTCCCAATAAATTAAGTGGGACTTAATACTGCACAGAAGCAGGAATGCACTGCAACAGATTTTGTTGCAATGTAGTCTCTAGAAATAATTTAAGATTCCAAAATATCCAACTTTAAAATATCTCAGAAAGCAAAAAGAAAAACATAATTGAGAGCAAAAGATCCAATAGTCAGTTGCAATGCCAAATGCGCCACCTATCAGCTGCTGCGGAGAATTGCAGCAGCTGTTGCAGCCAAAGTAGAGTTACACGTGCAAGGTCACCCAAAAAAACAGATGTCTGCAGTCTACACATTTTGAATTGAAAGACAGCCAACATTACTTTGCAGAACCGAAAATTTCCACTCAAAAAGACAAAAAAAACCCAAAAAAGAATGCCTGAAGCACAAGTAGGAGCTGGACTCAAAAGTTGTGTGTGTTGTGACTTTGAAATGCAGGTTATTAAGTGGTGCTTCAGTAGCCACAAAGCATTTATATCGTGTCTCATCAGAATCAAAGGATAGCAAGTGACCTAATATGATGTGAAATTTCAGCTCTGAAGACCACAACCAGCCCAACCCAGGTGCCTGAAAAACTGCCCAGTCATGAATTTGTCTGAAAACTGGTGGCGGTACCCAACAGCGCCCTGGCCTTTCCCTGTTTGATACAAAAGGTATCTGTGCCCCCTAGGATGCTGTTAATAACTCAGTGCATATTCTTTAGGCCATTCCATGCATTCTTTATTCAATGCAGTTTTGAGGATGGAGGGAATAAAACACATGAAGATACAAACGTTTGAAAGAAATGGGGTTTTTTTACATGTTAGTGCAAAAGTGGTGGGTCAGAACTCAGTACTGGGCCATGGCCTGCTCTATGGTGGGTCACAACAGCAGCACCACCACCATACAAATATCTGGCTGAAAACCTAAGTAGTAGGTCCCTAAGGCCTGTTTGGGCTAAAGGCACAGAGGCACCGCTAAATTACACCACATGGCAAGATGTGTCATATCAACTGTACATCTTCACTGAGATTGAGGAGATTATAAGATGTGATAAGGCAGGCCTTGCCCCAGGAGAAGAACCACTCCTTTGCAACAAAAGAGTAATTAGGTCAAGGAATAGGAGGAACAGAAGCAGAACAATAGGAGTGGAATGAGGAAGGAAGTCTTTGTCCAGCAACAATTGGCTGAATCACTTGCCACTGAACCACTGTACATGCAGGACAACAGGCTCATGTGATTCTCCCAATGAGGTACATGCACTTTCCTACTGGGAAGTCTATCATGTGCAAAGTAGCTCCAAGTTTACAATTCATGACCTCTCTTTTCAGTCATTTATGTTATCATTTTGATTTGGGGCCTGTCTCACAATTCATACCTGTACACAAGGTGTGGGGTAGAGAGAAAGCAATAATATTTTTTTTTAAAAAGGGCAGGGGTTTGTGACTTGGTACCTTGAGGTAAATATATATATATATATATATATATATATATATATATATATACACACACACACACACACACACACACACACAGAGAGAGAGAGAGAGAGAGAGAGAATACAGGTTGTTCATTTCAGGAGCAACAAGCAAAGTTGCATAACACTGACCTGTTAGAAAGGTAAGAAATATCTGTTTATTTCTTAACATTTTTCTTCCTATAAGGAGCTCCTCTTCACCATAACCATTTCTGAAGAGTACAACTTTCTTTCTAGCTACTTTGTGTAACCAGACAACTGATGGACTGTAGTGTACTATTTTCACATTCACTTTGGCAGACACTGAGCATTCAAAACCAGGACAGTGCAACTGCAATGGATCGTCTCGCAACTTACCAGAAACCATGTGCAAATCGGATGCCGTCCCCTTGTTTATCAGTTCATACTGGAAGCCTGTGATCTTCCTGCTAATGTCCTGCTGAGGGGTGGCCTCGACAAAGAGTCCGCCTTGTTCAAAGCTGAAGCAATGCACTCGGGCGGGGCTGTGATCCCCATCTTGGACCAGCAGTTTCAGTTCTCCAGTTTTTTCCAAATAAATATTTGCTCCTGCGGAGTCCTTGAAGGGCTTTATGCAGACAGTCCAATGCTTGGAAGAGGAAGATACAATACTGGGTCGCAGGTTCACTATCAGCGCTCCTGTGGGATACATCCAGTCTATGGATCCTTCGGCGCAGCGGAGGTAGACCTGTTCAACATCTTTTTTGTGAGACTCGTGTGTTAGTCCACTGGGGGAGGAAAGGAAAGATGGATAGTTTACTGTAAGAGCGCCTCCATTTATTTCAAGAGAATACTGTATATGCTCAGATAAATAAGTTGTGGGGATTAAAATAGCGGCTGCGGAACACGGCAAGGCCATGAAGTTTGAAAAGGCTTTCAGGTATGAATTCAACTCTGGTGCTTATCTGAAAAAGTTGCAACAAGGGTAGCCAACATGGTACCCTTCAGATGTCACAGACTACAACTCCCATCATCCCTGAACACTGACCATGCTTGGCTGGGGCTGATGGGAATTGGGAGTCTAACATCATATATAGGACACCACACATTGGCTACCCTTTGGTTGCAATAATAATTTCCATTATCTGGGGCCATGCAACATCTTTGGGAGGTTCAAATTACTAACATTTATAATAGACGTTGAGTGACAAGGCAACTCGCTCACAAAAGCTGTGGATAACAGGTAACAATGAGGTTTGTTCAGTCCTCCACCGCATTCACACCAGCCACCCAAATCTCCCCATGTTTATGTAAATCAGCCTTCCCCAAATTTTGGTTCCCACCAGATGTTATTGAACTCCAAACCCCATCATCTCTGACCATTGGCCATGCTGGCTGGAGCTCATAGGAGCTGGAGTGTAGCAACTTGTGAAAGCAGATGAAACAATTGAGAGAATATAAGTGATGTTAAACCACAGGAGTCAAATGACTTTGCTGCTATGCAAGAGCGGCGGGGGGGGGGGGGAGAGAAGAGGATACATATTTAAGCTCAACCGGCGTTTAAAATTAGTTGTGGGAGATATTACTGGGAAGGAGGAGAGGGAATAGGAAGCAGCACACAGCCCAACATATGGTTTCCATTTAAGAGCGAAGTGGCTGACATTATTGGGAATGTCAGTATAACATTCTGTTCAGAGGTTACATGAGGAAGCTCCAAAAAAGTCAAATTCTAATAATCATCATCATAATACTGTCTACAAACACATGCTGAATAATCCTGAAAGCCACATCAAGAGTATAGATGCTTGTGGGAGAAGGAGCTGGTTCTTGACCTCTGTGCTTTTGCCCGCCAACACAAAGAAACACTTGATATATTTGAGATCTGCATCACTCAGCTGGGACATGAGATGCAAACAGTGTTCTCTGCCACAGTGTGGTCTGGTGGTGGGCAGATTGTTACACTGAGCTGGATTCAAACCCCTCTTCTCAAAAGGAGGAACTGACTGATTTTGACTAGTTGTGCCCTTATCACCCACATTTACAAAAATGAAGTCACAGTCTCACTCATAGGGATGTTGTGTGGCTACAGTCATGCCAGGGAAGCCACTACCTTCAGTGGCTACAGTGTTCGGTTCAAATATCCAACGTACATGAAAGTCCCACTCCTTTAACCCAAGCACATCTGGCATTCTCAAGCGCAAAGCAGTTGACAGCATGCTAACTGGGCTCTGCAACCCATCAAACCTCAGATAATCTACATTTTAGTAATGACTTTACTGTGGTTGCATCAAGCGAATAAGTTGCTGTATTTCCCCCTAAAAGCAGTTTGCGTTATCAACATCATATGAGCAAAATACTATTCCTGCTCCAAAATGTGATCATTCTTCAGCGGGGGTAAAGTTATCTAGAAAGGAAGATATAAGTCATCGGAGAAGAAAATGGGAGTTTCGCTTTGAAGTTTCCACAGTACGCAAGCTTGACATTGGGACAATGGATTTATGCATGAGATGTCTGCAAGCTTTCCTTGCTACTGAAAGTTGAAAGTGGGTGCACTGTGGAAGTTTTCACTGGGGCCAATTATATCCCACAAGCCGCAAATGGGGTAAGGCAAAATTGGGAAGAACAAGCAGTTAGGGGTAACATGCCAAGTTCCTAATGGAATGGAGAACACTGAATGCAATTTCAAGAAACACATAGATTTCCTTGGCTAAAGACTCATGACCTAGTTAAAGCTGCCACTCACTAGAGTTGGTCAGGATGAAAGTACATCTTTTGCATGGGGTGGTCAGAAGATTCATTACCAAAAGGTATGAAACATGAAATTAAATATCTAATATGTAAGAGGCCTGACAGGACAACAATGCATTTATTTTAACTTCTATTGTTTTCTGGCCAAATAAAAATGGAAACAGAGATCTTGGGGTAGAGAGAAATAAAGTAAAAAAGTAGGTCTGGCATTTTTGATTTAAACATCTTAGGACTTTTGTGATCTTTAACTATGGAGATTGGCCACCACAGTATAGGTACTGATGCACTACATCTCTTCACAAATTGTTGGCAGTACCTGTAACCTCATCTGCTGCCACAGGGCAATCTATTCCCAGTGCCTGGGGTGACACAAAAAGAGACCTATTTCTTCCAATGTAATCAAACTGAATGCAGACGGGAGATTATATGGGGAAAGCCCTAACATTCTGCGGTAACAAACGTCTTATGAGGGCAGACTACAAGATACAGATGGGAAGTAGACTACTAGGGCTGGCCACAGCCTTCCTGGTTGAAGGAATTTCCCCAATTCCCCCAGGAATCAATTGCCTCAAGCTGCTTCTTTTTTTTAAAAAAAAAATGCTTGCTTACAAAATCCACCAATTAAGAATTGGTGCAGTGTATTGATTATATTACCATACTGTATAGCTGAATCAAGGACCTCACGGCACAAGAGCATTTTAAAGGGCAATCCTAACTTGGACTAGACAGGAGTGAGAAGCTGGACATGCAGCTAGGCATCCCAAGACCTTTGGCTCACACTCAGCCAGGATGGCCACTGAATGGCTCTTCCTTTTCTTTGTGCTATGCCAGCTCCAGACTGGCGCAATGGAGGGGCCTAGGAATGGAACTCCTCAGAGGGATCTCTAGGGCAGGGGTCAGCAACCTTTTTCAGCCGTGGGCCGGTCCACCGTCCCTCAGACCATGTGGTGGGCTGGACTATATTTTGAAGGGGGGGAAATGAACGAATTCCTATGCCCCACAAATAACCCAGAGATGCATTTTAAATAAAAGGACACATTCTACTCATGTAAAAACACGCTGATTTCCAGACCGTCCGGGGGCTGGATTTAGAAGGCAATTGGGCCGAATCCAGCCCCCGGGCCTTAGGTTGCCTACCCCTGCTCTAGGGAGTGCTGGATGCAAAGCCACTTGGTGCCGTTCCCTGAAAACAGCCTAACACCACAAACAACCCTTTCCAGTGTCAGATAACAACATTGGGCAGGGAAGGATTGCATTATTAAGTCTCACAACAACCCTGTGAGGTAGAAGCTGGTTAAGCTGAAAATGTAAAACCTTGCCTGTGGCCTATCCAGCGAACGTCAAAGCGCAGCAGGATTCTGAGCCTGGTATTCCAACTTCCAAACTCATCCCTCTAGTTGAACCATGATGCCAAAGCAGCTATCCATTAAATAGTAACCATTGACTACGGCAGCTGTTGTGGTGCCTGCCAGATGTTGCTGGACTGCAACTCCCATCATCCCTTACCACTGGCCATGCAGGCTGAGACTGCTGGGAACTGGAGTCCCAAAAAGCATTTGATGGACAGCACACCAGCCATTCCTGTAAACAGAGAGGTGCATAGGCTGCAGCATCAGTCCTTGCCCATTCCAGAAGGCCAAAAGCTCAATTTGTTACCCATGTGATGTTCTTAGATCTATATAAGCACATAGGAAGAGGATCAGACCATAGGCCTGCCTAGTCCTGCACCCTGACTCTCAAAAATGGGCAGCCACATGCCTCTGGGAAGCCCTTAAGCAGAATACACGGGGGCAACAGACCTCTCATTGCTGGTACCCAGACTGTGATCTGGGATGTGGCATATATGCATCAAAACTAGCAGCCATTAAAGGCCTACCCTTCCAAGAAAAAACTGCCTTAAATCAAGTCAGGCTATTAGTGTATTCACACTGACTGGGAAGCAAGTCTGCAGGGTTTCACACAGGTGTCTTTCCCACTGCTACCTGGAGATGCCAGGGATTGAATTTGAGATCCTTTGCATGCAAGACAAGTGCTCTAGCCCTGAGCTACAGCCCTCCCCACACTACTCTACAGCCTAGGCAGAATGGCTCAGACCAGAGGCACCTGTTTTGGTCAGTTCCACCTATTTTTCAGACGTCAGATGTTCTCTGCTTGTGCAACCACAATAATGTGTCATTCCACGAAACTAAAATACATGATGACAGACGGGGGGGGGGTGAGGAGGGGGGAAGAGGAGAATGGCTGGGTCAGCCTCACAACAGGAAAGTGAGTCATGTTGGCTACACACATTCCCTGTGGCTGGCATTCAGAACATTGACGAGCTTAGAAGAGAGACTTCATTCATCAGCATAGCAATATATTAACGAGCTGGTAGCTGAAAGACTAAGTAGAAATCAGGAAGTCCTTGGGCTTAAATGTTTTGCCTCTATGAGGCAATTTTAAGCATGCCACTCTCTGGGACCCCAATCTAGGTTGGAAACACTAGTATCCCACCTTACAGGTTGGTTGTTAGGGCCAGGTTTAGGGACCTGCGATCGAAGCGAATCCCGAGGGCTCTTAAAACTTATTTTTGTAGTAAACCACACTGATGCTGATAGAAAATGCTTCTGTTTCAGGCAGATGTATTTAGGATCACAGTCTGAGAATTAGTGGGTTTTGCTCAAAAAGCTACCTATTTCAGCAAACCACATTGTCAGGAAATGTGGCTGTGAAACTGTTAAAATTATGCCCTGAGTCAATTGGCCATTACAATTACCCGATTCCCCTCCCCCCCCCCAGCAAGTGGCCCATGTCACTATTTTCAGCTATTATCTTTCTAGATAATGCAAAAAATATAGAAAAATGCCAATGTACATGTGACAATCCTTGACACTCAAGATAATTCATTACCATCTGGATTCCTGTCCCCAATAAAAGAAAACAGAGGTGCCTGGATTCTCCCTCACACCCCAAACAACAACAGGAATCAGCTGAAAAAAATGTAACAAAAACCTTATTTCCGCCTCTTTGATCTTTAGCTATTCCCCAAAATAGTCAAATTGTTATGGAAAGCCAACCAATTTATGTATTAGTTTTAAAGTCTTCCACCGGTAACCCCATTTGAGGGTTCTTTAAGTGTCCCGAAGAAACCAAATATAGATTACAAATTTGGCCATGGTTTCATTTCTGAATGAAAATCTAGCCCTCAAAAGTCGTGATCTATAAAAGGTTTTTGAAAACCATAAAGACACATTAAAATGATTACAGCAGATTAAAGTGGGGGGGGGGGAGCTTTTGGAGCCAAGCAGTTTTAAAAGATTTCACAACCAGAAAGATTAGCATAGCTGTGGCAGACATGGAACACTGGGTAAGAATCTGCCATCAGCGATGCTGATTTAAATCTGAAGGAACAGGAGTGACGTGATGCCACAGCTGTAACAGAGACCAGACCAGTATCTTTTCAGAGATCAGTATTGTTCAGCAACAGGTGAACTCCAGAGGAAGTTCGGGCAAATGTTAAAAACACCCACAAGTACGCACCACTTTTACGATTTCCAAGGGAGAGCTAACTCCACCCAGGAAAAAAAAAGCAGGCCTCTAAATTAGGATTTCGCCCCCTGCATAAAAAAGTAAAAAAAAAAATCTTAAGGTAAGTAACCCAATATGGCAAAGAAACAAACAACAACAATCCTGAATTAATCAAGTGTGTTCGAATTTGTGGGAGTGTGGGGGAGAGACCTGTCCTACTAATCAGGTGCGTTCCAAAGCGGGGGCGGGAATGTTAAGACAGCGAAATCCCACCGAGGGGATTTAAACAAAACCGAAGCCAGCTCGCTCGCGCTCGCTCTCTCTCTCCGCGTTGCAGCTTCGCCAAGCGCGAACAATCCGCACCAACCCTGTCAACTCGCCTCCTAAAAGGGACGACTTACAAGCCTATTGTGTTACAGCGAAGTGAACGCTTGAATGCAGAAGGTCAGCGGCGAGGAGGTGCAGAGTGTGTTATTCGGGTGTTGGGTTGCACAGATGTGGCCGGTGTCGCTGCGTGGTCAGTCCAGAGAAACGCTCTACCTTTGTCTGCGAAAAGCCAAGCGGCCCTCCCGCTCCCCCCCCACTCCCGCCTTTGCCCGTTGCTTTGGCAATACTCATCCTGAACACTCCTGGAATGTTAATCAAAGTGCCCCCCTCTCCTCCTCCTTCCCTCCCCCCCCCTTCCCGCTTCCAATAAATCAGAGCAAACAGCAGAAGAGGAGGAGGAGAGGTTGCTTTTATCCCTTCGCAACAATCAAATCCATGTGTCCGTGAGCCGCTGGAGCAAGTGAGCCCAGCGCGGGACGAAGCGCCTCTTCAATTCTTCCCCCCCCCCCCCACAGCCAGTTACTCCAACCCGGAGCGAAACTTTACTTAACAAAACCCGGAGAATAACTAAGGGACCCCCCCTCCCCTCTCCCTGCATTCATAAGGGCAGAAGTTGCAAGAGGAAGCAAGCATTCGCTCCGCGGTGAAGCCGGATCCAAGCCCCGGTTCTCTCAAAGAGCAAAAGGGAAGAAATGGTCGTAAAAACAGAGGCGGGGGGGAGGGGGTGCGGTGAGGAAGAGCTCCAAAAGCAGAGCCCATGAAAGTGGCCAGAGAGAAATGGAAGGACAGCATCTGCCCGCCCTTTCTGCGCCCCTAGAAGAGGAAGGGCTGAAGCGCCTCTCGGAGGGTGCGCGCTCGGTTTAAAGGGAGCGTCGACCCCCTCGGAGGTGGCACGGAGGACTGCCCACCGAGAGAGTAAAGAAGATTGGCTTGGGCGGAAAGAAGAGAGGGAGGAGGGCGCATCCCAAGCCGTGCAAAAACCTTGCAGGGGCGCATCCAGGGAAGCAAAGGCTAGGTGCGGGGATATGCCCGGACAAAGACCCAGCAATTGGCAGCGCACATGGAGCGCCGGGCTGATCCGTGTTGCCACCGGGCGCCGAGGGTTCCCCGTCCGCCCCGCGAGCTCTTACCTCCCCTTCCAGCTGCACAGATCGCTCGAGTACTGCGCCGTGCAGCCCCTGTCCAGCGCCAGCAGCCCCAGCAGCAGCAGGAGCGGCGAGGGCGGCGGGAGCACCAGCAGCCCAGGCGCCGGGGCTCTCCGCATGGTCCCCGCCGGGCTGCTCGGGAACAGTTCCACCAGACCAGGCGAGAGGAGAGCGCCCGCGGCCAGCGCTACATGGCGAGCGGCGAAGGCGGTCCGGATCGAGCCCTTAGCACGAGCTGCCCATCCCCTCCGTCCGGCCACTCACTCGGCGCAGCAGCCTACTAGAGCTCTCTCCAAGCCGGCGCTCGCTCTGGCTTCGCACGGGGCGGGGAGCCGGGCCAAGTCAAGAAACCACCCACTCGAGCGTCAGCTGAGAAAACCCGCACCGGAGTATGCGCGGAGCGGACTCGGCTCCTCCCTGCACTGCCGAGCTGCTCTTGGAAGCACTTAGGAGAGACGGGTGTACTTTTTGTGTCAAGGGATTTCTTTGGAGCACGTCAGAGGCTCGGATACGTAGAAGCCAACTCCTAGAGGCCGAGGGACTCCCCCAAAAATATTTGAGGAGGCTGCCCCGCTCCAGGTGAATGGGCATTGCCAACCAAATAGTGATCGATTATGCAAGGCAGGGCTTACTTGCCCACCCCCAATATTTTATCTTGATTATGGTCTGGGTAAAAGGTAAAGGGACCCCTGACCATTAGGTCCAGTCGTGCCTGACTCTGGGGTTGCAGCGCTCATTTTGCTTTATTGGCCGAGGGAGCCGGCGTACAGCTTCAGGGTCATGTGGCCAGCATGACTAAGCCGCTTCTGGCGAACCAGAGCAGCGCACGGAAACGCCGTTTACCTTCCTGCCGGAGTGGTACCTATTTATCTACTTGCACCTTGACGTGCTTTCAAACTGCTAGGTTGGCAGGAGCAGGGACCGAGCAACGAGATGCATTGGACTGCAACTCCACCAGCCCTAGGTAGCATCTGGAAGGCACCAGGCTGGCAAAGATTGCTACGCACTCATTTTGGAGTTGGCCCCCATCTAGCTTAATGAATTTACCTCCGTATAGTTAAAGCTATGGTTTTCCCAGTAGTGATGTACGGAAGTGAGAGCTGGACCATAAAGAAGGCTGATTGCAGAAGAATTGATGTTTTTGAATTATGGTGCTGGAGGAGAGTCTTGAGAGTCCCATGGACTGCAAGAAGATCAAACCTATCCATTCTTAAGGAAATCAGCCCTGAGTGCTCACTGGAAAGACAGATCCTGAAGCTGAGGCTCCAATACTTTGGCCACCTCATGAGAAGAGAAGACTCCCTGAAAAAGACCCTGATGTTGGGAAAGATTGAGGGCACAAGGAGAAGGGGACAACAGAGGACGAGATGGTTGGACAGTGTTCTCGAAGCTACCAACATGAGTTTGACCAAACTGCGGGAGGCAGTGGAAGACAGGAGTGCCTAGCGTGCTCTGGTCCATGGGGTCATGAAGAGTCGGACACGACTAAACGACTAAACAGCAACAAAAACATACATAGAGTTTCACTGCACATTAAGGGCAAGTAGAATGCTTAGTTGTATATAGCATGAACGTTGACTACATTTGAGCTGCAATCCTGAATCCGCTTACTTGGGAGACCCATTGCAATCAATGGGACTTACTTCTGAGTAGATATGCATGTGATTGTGATGTTGAGCCTTCTCTTTAATTATATATTGGAGGGGCTTTCTGTGCAGCCCCCAAAATGTAAGACCCTGCTGCATTGGCCACTGGCCCAACTAGTCTAGAATTGCGTCCTCATCCTGGCCAACCAGATGCTGATAGGAAGCATGCAAGCAGGACCTGAGCACAACAGTCCCAGAAAACTAGTTAGAGAGAGGGGGATGCTTCAGACTATGTCTATTATTTAGGACTACCTAAACCTCTGGTTCAATGTAATAAATAACCACTAATATGTTATTTAAAATTTAGTCCCTCTTCTATCCCCTAGCCTCCCTAAAGGCCACTAGCCTGTCCCAACCTGGGTTTGTTTGAAGTACTGTATTAAAAAGTGAGTTGGAGTCCTGGCACGCGATTTTTGTGGTCATTGAGTATGAGTTTTTGTAGTAAAGACAGCATCCTTCTAAAAGGAGACAGTGACACAATCTACAGACTGCTTCACCTAATAATTGGACCTGTAGCATGGTACATAGCTGCTGTGTCTCTGTTGGTATGGCTTACCTGAGTAAATGTGTGTCTTATGTGGCAGTCCACAGGAGCATATTTTAACAAATAAAGAGCATGTGAAGCTGCCTTATACTGAACCAGTCCGTTGATCCATCTAGATACATAAGTTTATATTCTGATGGGCAATGGGTCTCCCAGTCCTCGGATCTTTCCCAGCCCCAATACCTGAGATCTCTGGACCTGGAGCTAGAAGGCATACATCTAGCTCATCATTGTGCATGCAAGCTGGCAGAGACCCACCAGGGTTTGAGAGAGAAATCTTTCCCAGCCCTGCCTCAAACTGCAAGGGATTGGGACCTTTTGCATGCAACACATGTGCCCTAAAACTGAGCTACGGTTGTGGGCGGGTCAGGTTTACGCAGCCTCAGCAATGAGCTCACTTGCAGGTTTGGCTGCACCTTCGAGGAGCATAAACAGTTCCTGATCATAACAAAAAAAGGCTGTGTCAGCACAAGGAGGAAGGGTGCTTACTGGTTATTAAACACATTTCCAGGTGCACCAATAGGACGCCCGCATGGATGCTGATGGAAGCATTCCTGCCTCATTGCAACATAAATATTTATTAGTATATGCAAACCGGCACGGCATTGGAAGAGTGGTGAAGAGTGAACAGGTATGGTCAGGTACCAACATAATGCTTTCAGGTGGTGTGGCAGTACTACCATAAGCTTTAATTAAAACAAAAACAAAGCAGCATTTGAACCGTATTTTCGGACTGGTGTAAAGCACGGGCCGTAAAACTTTTTCAGGCTAAGTCTGAGGGGAACATTCACTTTTGGTTAACTTTCCGGTGTGGTGAATGCATGCCACTGGTGGATGTGGCCAAAGCAAAAGGGGCAGGCCTCCCAGCATTCTCACAGACACTCATTCATATCCACACAGAAACATACACACGTTGCCTGTAAAGAGAGGTGATGATTGTGCTTAATTTCTTAAGAGTGAGATCATACATAGGAGTGTCATCATACATAGGAGTCCCTCTAGAGACCCTGGAAGCAAATATTGTCTCTTAATTTTGGGTGGGAAACTACAACTAGTCACTGGGGAATCCTGTACATGCTCAGAAATACTCAAAAAAAATATTGGTGGGAGGCCAAAGGCTGTTCAGGTTATCTTATATTTTGTAAATGGGGTTTTTTTCTTTCAATATTTTGGGGGGTCCCAAGAGAGTGGGGCCCTAAGCTATAGCTTGTTTAGCTTATACGTAAATCTGGCACTGTGCAGAATCAGCAATGGGTAGCCCCCAGGCAGAAAATACTTCCCAAACTATGTTTTAAATGTTAATATATGTGAATGTATTCTTGTTTGAGAGGAGGGTCAGTTCCAAGAATCTAAAAAATGTTGCCTTCAACCACATGCTCCCATGCTGTTGAACTGGTAGCTGGAAACTTGGAAACCACTACACAGCAGAGATTGTCATTGTCACCCTGTGTCCATTATCACACTGGGGAAAGTCAATTGTGTGAACCTGTTCTTGCACTGTAGTTCATCAGTGCTGGTATTCCTTTGCAAAGGAACACCCCCCCCCATGCGCCATTTACAAGCCTGGCGGTACTGTAAATGCTTGAGAAATACACACTAGCAGATTTTGGTTTGGGGGTTATGTTCCCATAGTGCTTATGACGGAGGAGGTTTCAATCTTACAACTGTATTACCATCCATTTGTGGATTATTATTTTTGTCCATGTCAATTTTGTTTTGCAAATTAGGGTTTCTGTTTGTTTGAAAAAACGAATCAGTTGATTGCAAAGCTTCAGTGTGGTTTACAGTAATTACATCAAATGATGATGCAGTAGCCGAAACCTCTAATTACTGGGCTAAAACAACACTAAGAGGCATCATTCGGAGATGAAATATTGCAAAATTCTTTATTTTCTTGGGCATGTACTGTAA